CCTTCACTGTGCGTGCGTGCCTTAAATCGGGTCTCAATTTAAGACCCCGACTGGGCTGACCTCCGCTCGCTCCCCGGTGCAAATGCTCCCCCGTCACCTCTGAGGCTGCGACCTTTCTTTTCCTACGTTGCAGAACCTCTTGCCCACCAGCACGCCCCAGGAGGCCCAGCAGTGGCTGCACCGAAACCGCTTCTCCACTTTTTCTCGGCTTTTCAGAAACTTCTCAGGTAGGTTAGGACAGCCCCTTCTCCGTGCCGAGTCCCTCTGCCTCCTCTTGCTCCCGAGGCTGTCTCTGTGTTACCTTTGCAAATATAAATGGGTTTGAAAACTGCGGGGTGGTTTGTAACACAAGAAAAAGGGGGCTCCCTGAAAGCTGCATTCTTCGCTTCTCACCTCGCTCTCAACTGGCAAAGTAGTGGGGTCTGGGGGGGTTCCTCTTCCAAAAGCTCGCAGCGCTGATCTTAAAACCAGCTGAGCAGTGCTGAGTGGGGGGAGAGCGCTGCGGGTGAAGAAATGCTTCCCATTTGTTTATCCCCAGCCGCTTCGGGCTGGCTTGTCTGATTTTTCTTTCCTTTTCTTTTTAAAACGGTAGGTGCCGACTTACTGAAGCTGACCAGAGAAGATGTTATCCAGATCTGCGGCCCCGCGGACGGCATCAGGCTCTTCAACGCGTTAAAAGGACGGTACGTAGTGTGCTTAGGAGCCGGCTGCGGGCGGCAGGTGAACGGTGTTTGGCATAGCCGGTTCGCTTGGCTCTCGCTGTTAGGGAGAGCAGCGTTTCCTTAACCCTCCTGAACCTCTTCCAGTCCGATTTGATGACTTAGCCAGCGGGGTAACGGCCCCCCAGCGACAATTTGGGGCAGAAAATGCATGTGGGAGGGAAGCGTTAGAAATTATTTCGCTCTGCGTGTCAGAGCCCCCAGCCACGAGCCCCAGAGTCCTGCCAACGCCGTGCTTGTCCCTCTGAACCACCTCCCAGTGGAATTACCTCCTGGGAAAGGGAATATTCCTTCCACACCTTTCCCTGAAGAAGCAGGGACTTGGTGTTTGCCCGACCTCCTGCCTGAGCCGGAGCATTTCGGAAGGCGCCGCTGCAGCCAGGCGGCGAGGCACGGGGTGGGCTCTGTCCTGGGGGGAAGGGCTGGGAAATGAGGACTTAACGAGAAGGAGCGTGCGTGTTCCCAGAGCAGAGCTGGGTCTGAGCCCTGGCCGCTCTGCCCCTGGGGAGCGGACGGTCCCGTTCCCGTAGCCAGCTGGCACCGCGTCCCCATGCCGCCTTCGTCCCCTTCTCGCAAAAATGTTTGCTGCATCAGCGAGGTGGGGGACGGCCACGACGGTTTGGCTTTGAGATGGGTTTGTCCATCTCTTCTTTTCCTTCTGAGGATACTGGGGAGTTCCTTCTGAGGATACTGGGGAGTTCCTTCTGAGGATACTGGGGAGAGCGCTGGCAAAGCGTCGGGGAATAGAGGTGTCCATGAGCAAATCCGACGGCCTTCATGCCCCGCTCTGTCCTAGGATGGTGAGGCCCAGACTGACCATCTACGTGTGCCAGGAGTCCCAGCAGCTGAGGGACCTCCAGCAGAAACACGAGGACGGGGACGCAGTAACCAGTACTTTCTTCGGTAAGGGCTTCGCGGCCTGGCTGGCGGCGCGTGGGCTTGGGTTGCCACCGGCAGGGCGAGGGGTAAAACAACAGCCGGGGAGGGGAGGTTCAGCAAACAGAAATACGGTGGGGGCTGTTTCCAGCCCCGCGTTCCGGGGGGTTAATGTGCTGCCTCCAATGGCTGGGAGATAGCGGGGAAACGGGGTCGCGCCGTGCTGGGGAGGAGGGCACGGAGGACGGGAGATGCTGCTGGCTTTAGCGCTGCATAAATGAGGACTTAACGAGAAGGAGCGTGCGTGTTCCCAGAGCAGAGCTGGGTCTGAGCCCTGGCCGCTCTGCCCCTGGGGAGCGGACGGTCCCGTTCCCGTAGCCAGCTGGCACCGCGTCCCCATGCCGCCTTCGTCCCCTTCTCGCAAAAATGTTTGCTGCATCAGCGAGGTGGGGGACGGCCACGACGGTTTGGCTTTGAGATGGGTTTGTCCATCTCTTCTTTTCCTTCTGAGGATACTGGGGAGTTCCTTCTGAGGATACTGGGGAGTTCCTTCTGAGGATACTGGGGAGAGCGCTGGCAAAGCTGGGTTTGTCCATCTCTTCTTTTCCTTCTGAGGATACTGGGGAGTTCCTTCTGAGGATACTGGGGAGTTCCTTCTGAGGATACTGGGGAGAGCGCTGGCAAAGCGTCGGGGAATAGAGGTGTCCATGAGCAAATCCGACGGCCTTCATGCCCCGCTCTGTCCTAGGATGGTGAGGCCCAGACTGACCATCTACGTGTGCCAGGAGTCCCAGCAGCTGAGGGACCTCCAGCAGAAACACGAGGACGGGGACGCAGTAACCAGTACTTTCTTCGGTAAGGGCTTCGCGGCCTGGCTGGCGGCGCGTGGGCTTGGGTTGCCACCGGCAGGGCGAGGGGTAAAACAACAGCCGGGGAGGGGAGGTTCAGCAAACAGAAATACGGTGGGGGCTGTTTCCAGCCCCGCTGCCCGTGGGCGGCCAGCACCGGGTGCCCCCCCCGCCCCCTT